GATCTCATGCCGTTAGTCTTGAGCACCCGACTACTGAAGGGGTCGAGGGGTACAAGCAGGGGAGCATTGATCCACAGCGAGGGACCCCGTTCCCCGTCCCCCGGCCGTGGGGGTTGCAGGTGAAGGTCGTGGGGGTGGGGGGTTACGTTGGCGAGCACCACCCACACTACCCGCTCTACGCTATTGCGTTTTCATTGAAGCCCATCGGCGCAGCGCGGCGCTTAAGAGGTTCAGATCAACGGGTTCTCGCGTCAAGCGGCATTAAAGCCCCGATGACGTCATTCTCCGCAAGTTTCCTTCCGAGCTCGATCTTCGAGCTCTACCAGGGTAAGAAAAACCGGGCGTTTCCAACACACATCAAAGGAAAGTTTTTGAATAGGCCGTTCACTACTATTGATTTAATTTTTTCCTCGGCTTTTTCATTGCCTCCCTTTTTTTCTCTTTTTCATCCCTGTTTTGCTCTCGTGTTCCTCCGTCTTTTTATCGATTTTACCCCCTCTTTTCCTCTTTCTGTTCTTCACTAAAAAAAAATAGTTCTGTTCACACGGCTCGTGCACTTCTTTTGTAACAGTCACAGAAGCTTCTGTTATAAGGACAGAGTGCTCTGTTCCCACGACCGAAGTTCTGTTCTCACAGCGGAAAAATTCTGCAAGTGTAACAAAGAAAATGCAGGAGCCCTGTGAACAGAAGGTTCTGTCGTCAACACCATCAATTTTTTTCTGTGTTCTCTCTAAGTGTACTTCTTAAATACCATATACCAGAAGTAGCCTTCCCAATTTTCGAACTGGCCCTCCAATTCTATAACCTTTGACCTTTCTTTTGGTCCTCAATTCACACTGAACCAGCAGATACGATTTTGAGCATTCTGATACATGTTTCTTGACCGGAATTTTGCGCAGAAAAAATTACTGAAATCAACTCATAACTAATATATCACCGTTTTTTATTTTACATTCGCTAAGAGAATTTTGAAAAAAAAAAACTTCAGTCTACGGAGCCAAACCTTAAGGACAGCGATTTTCCCCGCAATGGGGTAGAAAAATCGGACTTGGAGTTTCCAGCAGGAAAAACTATACTATCCCGGAGATCAAGCTGCAAGCTGTCTCATTTATTGTTGTACCTAAAAAAGATCCTTCGATGGTTGCTTTTAAATTCAACAGTTTTAAGCCAAGTACTTGCTACATTCGAAATTGAAATACACCGGAGGTAAAAAGCCTCTTGGATCCAGCGTCCAAACAAATAAAAACTGACAAGAAAAAGTACTCTTGATTTAATCGGATTTTTGCTTGATTCGAAAGCGAAGCCTCTTAATTTGAGTGATTATCCTTTTGACTCAAGAGAAAATCCGATTGAATCACGAGTATTTTTTCTTGTCAAATTTGTTAAGATTCTGGACTTTGCGGATCCAAGAGACTTTTATTTCGTGTCTATTTTGTGGCTCAAGCATCATAACCTCCAATTATTTCGACATTTTTGAGCATTTTGTACCGCATGCCGGTAAAACTTTCCTTTTAACAGTAGCGCTATTCCTCGATTTTAAGTTTCATAGCATCGAAATCGTTGACGCTCAGATTTTTTAAGCCCCCGTTAAGTTGAGGCGTCGTTTGGGGCCTTTTAAAGGGGTCGACGTCGCCGATGCTCCAGCGCGGCGCACAGTGGATCGAGTCAATCAGAGAGGTCGGTCATGAAATTTTTGACTTAAACTGCAAATTTTGATGTTTATTCCGTCGCATTTTAAATTTTAAGGGGTGCCCCAAGATGAAAATTCCACTAGGAAACCAATGGAATCACTTTTAAAACCTCAAAATTGTGTATTAACGGAGTCATCAGGGTTTAAAGTCTCCAAATTTTGTCCGACCTCTCTTATTGACTCGATCCACTGCGCGGCGTTGCACAGTGGATCTAGTCAATTAGAGAGGTTGGACATGGACTTCTGGACTACAACTGCAAATTTTCTTGTTTATTTCGTCACATTATAAATTTCAAGGGGTGTCTCTGATAGAAAATTTTATGAGAAAACCAATGAAACCCATTTTAGAACTTTAAAGTCTTGAATTAACGGAGTTAAAAGCGTTAGTTTGATGTCTTTAAATTTTGTCCGACGTCTCGTATTGACTCGATCCAGTGTGCGGCGTCGCGTCGCCCAGTGTGCGGCACCACCCTCGCTTGCAGCTGCCCGTCACGCGTTCATCCCTCGCCCTGCGGCCACCCCCGCAGCGCAGCGCGACGGGAGGGGCGGCGGGCCAACCTGCGTCAACGTGCGCCCCGACGCCGCGACGCGACGCGGACGTCGACGTCGCGTCGCTCAGTCGTTTCGCGTCGTCCGCTCCGCCCGGCCGCACGCCCCCGCCCCTCCCGCCCGCAATCTTGCCGCCCCCTCAGCCTACACGTGCCTTCCCCCCCCAACCTCCTCCGAATTAGGTGTCGATGGATTTTCAGGTGTTTGAAAATTGATTTCTCTCATTTAAACATGAAAACTACTCGGCGAACTGAACGCGAGGATGCCTTTGATTGTTGAATCGGACAATATGGAAGGGGAAGCTGGGAAATGTGCAGCTGTTGAATTATACGCGATTTAATCGATCTATGACTTTTCTATGAGGCTCATTCTCATTCTTAAAACTATTTTTCTGTAATTTATCATGCCGGAGTAATTCAAATTGTTGAACATATTGTAGACTCAGCGTATGAAGGGGTCTCATCGACTGATTCAGGCAATAGCATGAGCTGCACTAAAATTGTCCAGTGCCCAGTGATGTCACTCAAAAGCCTCATCGATTTTATCGATTTGACTCCGAGCCTCTTTCAATGATTAATTTTATTCTTTTTTATCATCACATTAATTTTTTTTTCGTCACTATTGCCTGCCGTATTAACTCTCAAGTAATCTGTAACCACATCAGTCTTTTTTTCTCCTTACTTTCAAATTTTGAATCATTCTATGAGAAGTGATTCTTTCTGCAATTTTTGCCCAACTCAAACGCAAGCCTTGAATGTTCCATAATAATGATATCTCATTCATATTTGGTGGAAATTCGATTGAACTCCCTCTTGGTATCCATCTAAATTTTTCGGCCAATCCATTCCATATCAACAGATGCGCTTTCCAAAAATCAGTCGAGTTTCGGCGGTTGTTTAAGTTCATATTGGATTACGAGACGTGTGTGCTCCGGTTTCAGGAAATCACGAATTATCATCAGTTTTAATCGCTGCTTGTACGTCTATTTCATGATTTATTATTTTTAATCTTAATGACTCCGATTTGTAAAATGTCACATTAATCTAGACCATTCGTTCAATCAATTACGTTTTGTCGAGTTCTCGAAGTAAGGAATAGCTCATTTGAAGGTAAACCCGACGAAAAAGAAGAAGGAAATGGGCTTGAAGAACCCCAATTTTTCTCTCCAAGAATCAATTTAAAAATAAAGGTCGGATTTGTCCACCTCATCGATGGTCAACTACTGCGCGACACGTATGCATGGGAGATGTTTTCTTTTTTAAGTGTATTTATTTGCCGAAAGAAGTACACCATTCCTAACTTGAACCGATCAGTTCACAGGTATGAGTGAATAATAATGTTTCAACTTCAGCTTTTTCCAAGTATTTCGTCGGCCTTCAATTGAAAAGCGTATTATCACTGGAAAAAATTCTCCCGGATCCAGAGTCCAGACTCTCAAAAAAATTGACAAGAAAAAATACTTCTAACTCAATCGGATTTTTGCTTGAATCAGAAGGAAATCAGGTTAAATTGAGGGGCTTGGCTCTCTATTCATGCTAAAATCCGATCGAACCAAGAGTATTTTTTCTTGTCAAATTTGTTGAGAGTGAGGACTCTGGATCCCAGAGACTTTTTTCCAGTGATCTTAAAACATGTTTAAAATAATATGTTTTAAAGTAAAGGCACCAGGGTTGCCGCAGTCTAGGAATACCGGGAATGTCAGGGAATGCCCAGAAATGTCAGGGAAAAATGACGGAAATGTCAGGGAAAAATCGTCATATCACCTTTATCTGCTTTCTCGAGTGGGTTTGACGTTTCAAACAACACATTTTGCCTGAAAACTATTTCTAACTATGTCCATTAAAAATCTGGAATTTTTTCAACTGTCAGGGAAGTTCACCAAAATGTGCCAGGGAATTCAGGGAATGGTCAGTGAATTTGATTTTCCAAATTCTGTGAAAACCCTGTAAGTTATATTGATTTTGAAAATGTTTGATGTTTCCACCGTCTTCTGGATGAAATTTTGACAAGAGATATTTCGTAGTGTTCAGTTCGTTACTCTGTCTTATAGTTCATTCCTCACGGAATATACGATATAGTCGATATAGTGCTGAGCACTAACTGTTTAGATCAAATGGAGCCAGCTAGTACCTATGGCAGAAGCGCTGAGCCCTAAAACTTTAGGGTCCAGCCCTACAGACTGCAGGCCTCAGCAGTACTGCCATATTAGCTGGCTCCATTTGACCAAAACAGTTAGTGCTCAGCTTTCTACTAGAGTCCCTTTATACCCAGAGTTAAGACAACTCGATTATCAGCTGACTGGCAGCCGGCCTTGACTGGCCATTGAGGCACAAACGAGTGCACCCAAACGAACGATATTGAGGGATAAGGATAAGGAATCCTGCGATGTCTGTCATCCAAAAACAACAACATCAACAAAATTGATCAATTAAAAAGAAAATGAGATTGGTTTGTGAATAATTTCTTAATCTATTTTCATTTTTGACCGATGGAAATAACAATTTACTCTTGATAAACCACAATTAGGTAATATTTTCATTATTTTTGTTCACATTCGAGTCACCGCCATCTTGGTGCACTCGTTTGTGACCCCATCAGCGAGAACCAATCAGAATTGGTTTTTTTTTTAGGCCACTTTCAGCCCAACCAAAAGTGAGTTGTCGTAACTCTGGGTATAAAAGGAGAAAGGGACTCTACTTTTTACCGTTTTTTCCCGTGCTGAGAGGTATATTCTAATGGTAGAACGATTTGTGTGTTGCAGGTTTAACTGTCGAGGGCGGGTCGGGGAAGGATGGTGAAAGTGCAGGATGAGGAGCCAGAAAGAACGCTGAAACCGGAGTCGAGCGGCCCAGCCGGCCCGGGGGCGGCAACGACGGCGGCGACGACGACGACGAGCGGGGGGGCCCCGCGGGGGGCCCACATGAACAACGGCAACGGGGCGGCACCGCCGGCGGCGGCCGAGAAGGCGCCCCCGAGCAACGCCCACTCCAACTCGGGGCGCCCCAACTCGACCCCGGCCCGGGCGGGCGCCAGCAACCCCGGCGGCCCCCGCGGCAACTCCACCTCGTCGGCCAAGCTCCCGGCCACCGGGACGAGCGGCGTGGCGACTCAGCACTTCCACTACCACTGGTCCTACCCGCCCGGGGGCCCCGGCTCCGGAGGGCCGCCGGGTCCCGCCGGGGGAGGCCCGGGCCCCGGGCACACCCCCGCCCCGGGGCCCCACCAGGCCACCTTCCACTTCGGCCCCGGCTTCGAGCCGCAGACCTCCCCCCAGCAGCACGTCGTCCACTTCCACGTCAACCCCGGAGTCACCGTCAGCTTCCAGATGGGAGACAGCGTCCAAGTTATTAAAGGTAACGAAATAGTCTATCTCCAGTCATGTATGCGATGAATCAGTGAGAACGAAAACAGACCAACTCGAAGAAATGAAAATAATCAAGACACACAAAACTTCATATTAGGTGAAGAAGTTAGTCTAAGAAAAATATTTTTGGTGCGCAACAGCAAGTACTTAAGGACACTTTAAATGCCCGAGTTGGAACACACGGTAATTCAATGATGACCTTTATGAAAATTGTCTGTCCTTAGTGAAAAGTGAGAATTTTCGAGTTACCGAGTCGTTGTGTTTTCGATTTCACTGATTCAAATGTCATTAGAGTCGACGCCAAATAAGTTTACCCACTTTCAGACTGCGACAGGAGATCCGCCATCTCGAATCTTCCATTTACTTTACGTGTGAAAGTGACCTCAGGCGATCTTACTATTGTGCTATGAATAGCTTTATTTTCCGTCGTACGTCAAAACTTTAAGGTAATAGGCAACTTATTTACCTCTCATAACCGCGCAAGGTTTGGTTAGGTTGGGTCAGGCTTAGGTTAATTTGATTCGGTGCCTAGACTCAGGTCAGGATAAGTTCAAGGTTACTTTCATGTCTCTTAATTTTTCAATAGACAGCGTCATTTTTGAGCGGGTGATAGGTCAAAATGTCCAAAAAAAATGTCCGAAAGTCAAAATGTCCAAACCCTGAATGTCCAAAAATCTAAAAAGGCCAAATATTAGTACTGTCCAACAGACAAATAAGTCCAAAAGTAGTCAAATGTCCAAATGTGAGATTAGGCATTGGTTGAGCTGTCATTGGATTTTTGGGTGCAGGTTGGCAAGCTGTTTGTGAATGCAGCCATAGAAACAGATGCGTCGGATAATGGAGAGATGCAGGTCAGGAAAATATGGTGATAAAATATTTCATGAGAACAGGCAAATTCTTACTTCCAAAAATGCATTGTGATTTATTTTTCAAATTTTGCGTGATTTTGACAAACATAACAAACGTGGCTAATATTACCCCGTTTGTCATGAAAAGCCAAAAAAAAAAAAACAAAAAAAAAAAATCTATAACAACTTAATTTGGACATTCACCCACTTTTGGACTTATTTGTCTGCTGGACATTATTGATATTTGGCCTTTCTAGATTTTCGGGCATTCATGGTTTGGACATTTTGACTTTTGGACATTTTTGTTTGGACAATTTGACCTATCACCTTTGAGCGTTTTATTTGACGGTAGCGACGGCATTTTTGTGAATTTTTCTAAAGAATTGGAGAAAGAGAGCAATAAAGTCTTTTGTTTTCGTCAAGGATTCGTTTTCGCAGACCATCCTTGCTCTTCACTATGCTTTCGGCTCTTTTTCAGAGGTAATTTCTCATAATTGAATCGGTCGATGTTAAAACCCAACCATTCGTCGCCTATGGAGCTCTGACTCCCACAAGAATACCTATGTTTCAGAGCTCAACAGATAATGGACATCTGCGGTTTTGCCATGGAAGGATTCAATTACAAGCCGGGTGATACCGCGAAATGCGATTCCGAACAGCGGCAACCTGCGGTTGCCGCAAACGCAAATGAAGGCTTTAAAACCTCCCAATTCCTGTCGCGCAACGCCCCACAACCTCAACTTCCGTTCGGTGATGATACCCTCCAACGACTTGAGCTATAGCTTCAAAAATCACCAGAAAGTCCCTCCGCCATCTTCCAGCACCCTCAACACCTTCAAGTTTCTCCTGGCTCTCTCATTCCTCGGTCAAATTTCGCCACTACTAGCGATGTAAGCAGGCACTTTCCATCGGGCTGATCATTGAAATTGATAGACAAAGCAATAGACAAAGAAAACAAAAAGGATATGCAGGTATCCTATTGGAGTAGTTTCCCTTTAAACACGAAGTTCATCAAATTTCAGACACCTGCAAATTCTCCATTGTAACCATCCGTTTCCACCTTTCCGTTTCGACCTTCGACCTTCGACCTTTTCGGGTTCGATTTTCTCATTGATTTTTTTCTCGATCGCATTATTTGTTTCAATGAACAGCCCGCAAAATGAAATTCTGAATTTTAAAACGGATTGGTTCGTACAGTTTCTACTGTTTTTTTCGTAGTAGTACATCCGGCGCTTGAGCCCTTCTATAACTGACCGATTCATTTGCTCTGCAATCGGCGGATCGAGCGTTTTCTGCACCCCTACGGGCCGATTATTGAAACTGATAGACAAAGACGACAAAAGGAATTTGGAGGGATCCTATTAGTGGTATGGAAGCTTGTGGTTGCAATGGACAAAGGACGTAGGTAATAGACTAACCGACGGCAACCCACAAGTTAGTGATCCGATAGTTAGTCCATCATTTACCCCCTTAGTCTGTAAGAACCACCCATTTCAACCAATAAGATCGCCCTATACTCCTTATGTCTTCTTTGTCTATAAATTTCCATAATCGGCCCGCTGTTAGCGAGGATTTGCGGCTTAAGTTGACTTTCCCGGGACATTTCATCAGAAAAACACACAAACAAGGTAACCACTCATATCATCAGGGTGTCTACCGTCAGTAAAGACAGTAAATTCCACGTTATCTGGACTAATCAGGCATAATTGAGGAAAATCGGTCATTGATCAGGAAATTCTGAGTGCTTCAAGCATTTTCAAACCTTTTATTCATTTCATTAAATCTGTTGATTTTTGAAATCAAACGAGTGTCAATTATTTGCGCAAAAATCAGGAAATCTTATCTAAAATATCAGGAAAATCCAAACTTAAACTTTAGTGGACACCCTGCTCGGAGAGCCCCCCGGAATTTCCGTCAAAGTTCATGAGAATTCTCGGTAATGTTGTCGCGGGTATTCCCGCGAATGCTCTCGGGAACTTATCTGGAATTTTCCGTTACTCTCTAAGGAATACTCCTCTAGGAATTTCTATTATTATACCTGGGAATTTCGATCAGTGCCCCCAGGAATTATTATCCCGGACAATATACCCGGAAACCGTTACAGGTCGCGAAAATTTGACCAGAAATTTTGTTTCCATTCCCGGTTTTTGCCCGAGAACCTTTATTCACCAGTCTCAACCCAGTAGTTGTTCACGGAATTTTCTTTCAACTCGTTTCTTAAAAATTTCCTCGCTCCGATATTTTATTATTTAATCACATTCCGATGTTCAGCTGTTTTCTCATCAATCAATTTCTCTCATTTTTGGCAGAATCAAAACTGCGTACAAATTCTTTATCAGCAACGTTATCCTTATCTTACGGCCATACTTTTTTTAAGCTTGTTTTTTATAGTTTATGCCGAGCAGAGAAGCATGCTTCTAGGAATCGGTGAGATATGAAAAACCTAAAAAAGAAAGGTAGCTGCTCGTCAATTTGTATTTTTATTAATTATCACGATGCTTCAATGAATTAACTTTTTATTCGTCCTTGAAAATACAGGCGACTGATATGACTTAAATTAATACCAACTTATTGAGTTACGTTGAGAGAGAAGACAGAGAGAGAAAAAAAACACGCACACACACTTACGAGTCAAAGTTACGAAAGCTGATTATGTATTTAAAAAAAAAAACAGATTTGGTTACGTACTGAGGTATACCAGTAAATATGACAATTATTCATCTTTAAGCAAAGATTAACAACCGATAATTTACATATCAAGCTGTCTGTGTGTGTCTCGTTAGAGTAAGGTGAGAGTTACTGAGTAGGTAGGAGCAAATGTTATTCTCTGAAAAAGTGAATTCTATTTATTTCTCGATCTCGAACTCTGGTTTTATGTCCACCTGTTGAAAATTTGTTACGCACCCTAAATTGAAGGTAACGCACTAAACTATCAACCAATACTCAGCGGAAGGGAATTTATACCGATTTTAAAGACATCCTTGAGCTTGACTTCTTGGCTATTCACAGAAAGAAATTTCAACACAAACGTTTGATTACTACGGGAAGTAAAACACAAAGTAACCCTAGCTTTCGGTTGACAGTTTCAAGAGAAAATGCCAGCTAGTTTTCTTGAAGAAATTCAATAAAAAAATGGGCGGTAAATATCAACGTCGCAGTCGGAGGAATGCATTTTCCCTGTCTCTCCATTGTTCTCTGCGCTCAATTCCTCGCAAAGTGTACCAAAATCGACACAAAATTTGTGTTGGTTTGTGTTTCACTTCCTATATTAAATATTAAACAAAAGTAACACAAGAACACAAATATTTTTATCAGGATAGCGTTAGGGCCCCTCGACAAAATATGGGTCAGATGGTAAGCGATTGACATAGACAAAGTCGTAAAATTGAAGCCTGTAACTCTGCTTGTTAGTTATGAACTTACTGATAAGATCAAAATGCATTTACTGATTACATCCCCTCTCCTCCCATCTTGCACTTGCTAATTACTCTCTCTCCTTCACCCTGCCTTCTGTTCTGCCGTGCTAAGGAAGAACGCCGTATAAACATACGAGAGTTGCCAGATTTCCCTGGATAAAACATTAATTTTAGACGAAATTTATGCATATTGTTCCTTGAAATTTTCAGATATTTTAGATTTAATCGCGGACAAAATAGTTTGAAAAATTGGAAGACAAATATTTGTAAGAGCCCCAATAAATTCTAATTTTATCAGAGGAAAATTGGCAACGCCTGAAGGTTCATACGGCATTTTTCCTCAGCATAGCAGTGTCAGTGTTTGCCTCCGCTGAGAAATGCAGACGTGAACGGAGCGCCAAACGCCCCCATACGTCCACGGAGCAAATAACAGCGATTAGCAGAGAATTAATTGTTACGATTTCGATGTTTAATTAAATTTAATTAGGCGCAGAAACCTCGTGCCCACCGCTACGCAGGGACCGGGTGCTCCGTAACTGTCGGCTATGCAATGAGTGTCGGATGGGCTCCATAAAAATAAATAAATACAATCATGCAATTAGTCTCTTTGTAAATAAAAGTGTGGGAAGCGGGATTCCGTGCAACGCATCGCAGGTTGCCAGTTTCAGCATCCGCATGTCGCGTCGTTTTTCCTCCTTTCCATTTCTCCATTTCTTTCATTTTTT